GTTCCCTCCCTCCCCTGCTTAGCCACAGGAAAACTCAGAGGGTCTTGAACAGCAGCTAGAGCATGGCCCACTTGATCAGAACACCTGGCTGACACAGAGAGGAAGACACATTTGGTGAAAACAGCAGCAGTGCTCTCGCAGAACACAGAACCAGAGCTGGGAGAGGCACACGAAACTGGGGTGCACGTGTATGCACATGTGTGTATGTGTGGGTGGGAAAGAAAATGAATAATTTTTTTTAACAAAAGGTTCTGAACCTAAAATGAAAAGAAAGGACATACTATACCTGCTGTAGTTTATTTTACTAAATAAACCAAGCAATAGACAGTACTTAGAAAATGGGCTGGTTCTGTATGACTGGGCATACAAAAAAAAAAAAAAATCAAAAACAGAAAAGGGCCTGGTACATAACAGCCCTCAGTGGAGATTTCTGACTGATTGTTGACAGGACAACCTCCTCCTTTTAATGCCTTCTCCATCTACTCAGCAGCCTTTCTGATTTCCAGCATTATATAATAGCTCTTAATACCTCACTCTGCCATGTAGAACAAGATGGATAATCAGATTGCTGTCCAAGACATTGATGTTTTTATGGGCACCATTATGCAGGGAGGGGGGCTTTCAGAACAGTTTATTCATTTATTCACTGATTCAACCAGCACTTCTTGAAAGCTTCTTACAGCAGACACTGCATTCATTAAGCTATGCTGTTGGGCAGTAAGAGGAGAAAGACATGTGCCTGCTCCCGAAGAGGCCACCGTGGGAGGCTCAGACACTCGGAGAACGATGATGCTGTGAGACAGAGGAATACAAACGGTTCTGTGGGCTCTCAGTGGAGGTGAAGATCAACTCTGCCTGTGTGGAGTCAGGGAAGGGGGTGGCCTTTGAACTGGGGTCATTTAAGGGCAAGAAGAGGGGACAGCATTTCACACAGATTAGTAAGGGCACGGAAAAGGAAGGGAAGATGGGGTGCTCTGACACCTTGAGAAGGGCAGTGTGACTGGTGTGAAGAACATGGGGGAAGGAAGTGGATGTGAAAAGAAAGGAGCCTAGAAAACCAGATGGGGCCATGTTGCGAAGGTCAGAGGAATTTGGACTTCATCCTATGCAATGAGCAGCCACTGCGACTGGTTCCTTGAGTAAAAAACAAAAAGAGAGAAGGTTCTAACTGTTTGCCTCACGCCTAAAACCATGTGTGGCAAAGCAGAGTTCAATTTATAAATTAAGGATCCTTCATAACCCATTTTTTAAATATGAGAACAGTATGACGACGAATGGACAGTGAGGAAAGTGGAGGTCTGTAGATCAATTTGGAGATTGTTACAACAGTCAAAGAAAAATGATAAAATTAGAAATTTCAGAAATTTCTAATGAGCATAAATACAGTATTAAAGTAAAAAAAAAAAAGTCTTCCTATTGTGACTTTTCACTACTTAGGCTTCAAAATATATTTAGAGTTTTCCGTGAAGTGTTTATACTAAAACATTCTGAATCAAAATCTATACTCCTTATCCCATTATGAGTTCATAGAATTATAAAATGCAATAGAATTTGGACAAATTGACACAATGAAATTACAAAATATGGTATTGCTTACTTACTTCTTGCAGTAATTTACAAACAAAACCAGTTAACACTTAAGGAAAATTTACAGACATAAAAAACTGAGTGATTTCTGGCAGGCACAAGATAAATTCATAGCTTAGCAAAGAAAATAATTCACATTTCTTGCTTAACATTTAAAGCCTTGTCACACTACTTATCCTGCTTTCTTTCTTTCCAGTTTTTGTTTCACAGGTTTTGAAAAAGTATTTGTCTAGATTCTCTAGATTTGACTAGTTTTTAAAGGGTCAGGAAATATCTAGAGACTAATAAAACCTTTGTGTACCAGAGGAGAGCATATACTCTCTTAGTCTTCTCAGAAAAGCATTTTGAACACTTGGAGGCTTTTGTGGTGAGGTTCAAGAGTCCTTTTTATAGATGTTTTTGAAGAGAAGAGAAACAGTGGAGTGTTCCATGGTTGCAAATCTAAGCCATTTTTTTAAGCAGAAAATGATTAATCTTATCTCTCTCATACTTTTCGTATTTTAAGTAATCTTGTCCCTGCTACCATGAATTTCTACAATGTATTAATACTACAAAATCTGTAATCTTTCTGTCCCATGGGGGAATTACCTGAAAAGGAAAAGAACAATATGCTATTCTTGGCAAGAAAAGAATTGCTTCTGACTCAGTGGTCACATTAAGTCACAACTCTTAGGTACTTTTCCAGAGGTTGGGGTGGGGCATTACCCATTTCTGTACTCTGTGAACCTGGTTGATGACTCAAGCCAGCCATGGGAGCCATTGCTAGCTGTGGAACTGTGTTCTTGGTAGGAAAACCAGTGGCATTGGCCTTAGTAGTCTATTCCAGTGAACAGAGGGCCAATTGATTCAGCCACATAAGCAACTTTAGAAGTGTCTCCTCTCCTCCTCCAAGCATGTTAGATTGGGTCAGGGAAGTATAATGAATAAAGTCTCCAAAAAGAAAGCAGAAACAATTGCCAGATCATCTTTAAACATGTGTATATTTTTAAATATATGATTTGTCCTGAGCTCAATCGCTACTTCCAGAAATGGAAACCAAAACAGAAGATCTCATTCACAATCCATGTCTTGGCAGCCAAACCCTCAACACACAAGGAAACATGACACAAATACAGCTAAATTCAGTGCTTGGGCTGTTTGGTCCAGATGATTTCCTACAAGAGCAAACCTCAGCAGAGGCATAGAAGGAGAGCTCTGCTTAGAGGCATTTGGAAATCTTCTTTGGGCCACAGAGAGGAATAAAGTGGTTCAACTATTCTAAAATATAAGGAAAAGCAGTGCTGGCACTCACCATCTTGAAGCCAAACTCATATTTCATTTTTTTAAGTGTTAAGGAAGTTTTCATCTGCATTAACTTTTATTAGGGTTGGGAGTGGACAAAATAGCACAAGAGGCAAAAGTTTAACTTCTGATGAGGAAAACATTTTTCCAAGGTTCTTCAGAGAACTCTTCATCACTTCCTGTTCTGATGTTTCTTAGTTTATTAACTGTAATAAAACATATTATGTCATACTGTAGGAGCTCCTTTCATTAGAGGGTCTCAAGTCAAGGCAATGCTTAATTAAGGGCCTAGTTGCAGTTAGGTTCAATGTGATGACTGCCAGCCCAAGCAGGAACAAAGCAAATCTGCCCAATAATTTGGAACATACAGGGAAGTTTTGTGCATTCCCTTGCAAATAGGCTTACCACCTCTGACCTGAGCTCCTGCTGACAAGGCAGGAGAGGCAACACAGATGTTGGGTGCCGGGATGGAGAGGACCCAGGGACGGAAGAGAAGTGGCCATCCTGCTTCCCTCACTGAGAACCCACTCTCTGCCCCATGGGCTGGACAGGGCTGGTAGGGCGTGAAGTCAGACCCACTGGGCAGTCCTGGCCTGGGCTGGAAAGCAGGCTCTGGTGGACGGACACTTGGCTGGGAACAGAGGTGGGGCCAGTGCCACAGGTGGCTGTGGAGGCCCCTGGCTGGGGGAAATCCCAGGAGAACACATTCAGCTCTACAACTAACAAAGCTGTTTCCCTCTCTCCTTCCTGCTCACTTCCCTTCCATTATCTCCATCCAGCATTCATTCGCCCTTTTCCTCAGTGCCAGGAACTCAGCTGGAGGCTGGAGGCCAGACAATAAAAACAGAACCATTTTCAGGAATCCTGCAGCTGTTTCTGAGGAGCAGAGGCCTAAGGACACAGAACTGACCATGGTCCTCAAGGCACAAAGCCCGTGTTAAGGGAGATGACACTTGAGGCCCAGAGACAAGAGAGCTGAGAGATTGCTGCTGTAGGGGTAAGATGGGGTAGAATCCTCCCTCTCACCCTACACCAGTGGACAGATGGGTTGCTGGGAACCAGGTGTCAGCTCAATCTAAGGAAGAACTTTCTGAGTCAGAGTTGTCCAAAGATAAAATGAACTGTGTTGGGGTGTGGCAACCGCTGGCCACTGAGGTTGCTGGAGAGAGAGGCTGGAGAGCCACCTCATGGGACTGCTTGATAAGGTCCCTTCCAGACCTAGATGTCTGTGAATCCACAGGGGCTGGTCCACCGGAGGTGGCAGTTCTGGGTGGCTCAGTCTGTGCTGCTCTGACCTGTCGTGAGGGTGACAAAGAGGCCTGATCAGGAAAGGGGAATAGAAAAGAGCCTGGAGAGGAGTGGGCTGTAGACTGGAGAGGGGAGCAGGAGGAGAGGGATGCATAGGGTGGCCGTAAAGTACCACAAACCAGGTGGCTTTAAACGGCAGAAATGTACTGTGTCAGGTCTGGAGGCTTGAAGTCCACAGTCACGGTGCAGCAGGGCTGGTTCCCTCTGATGGCTGTGAGGGCAGTCTCTTCCCTGCCTCTCCCCTAGCTTCTGGTAGCCCAGGTGTTCCTTGTCTTGCAGGCACCACCCCACCCTCCATCTCACATGCCGTTCTCCCCAGCGGTCTTCACGTGCTGTGGACGGGCTAGGTGACGCTGGTGGTCACTTCCTCCTTTTGCCCATCAGCTTCTCCAGTGGTAAAGAGAGGTTACACTATTTCAATGCAGACAGACATTCTACGATTTCATAGAAGTCAGTATTCTATGATTTCATAATAGGTCTCTAAGGCCCACTCCAGTGCTGATATTACATGATTTCATAAGCAATTAAGCTTTTTATGCGGGTTAAATGGAAAGAGGAGTTATTATTCTGAAAGTCAGCTAACATCTTTGGGGACTGGCGTCACCTCTGAGCCTCGGTTCGCTGATCTACCAAATAGAAATAACAATACGGCCTCATAAGGCGGTGGGAGTGAGGGTGCTTGAGAGACGTACGAGTCTGCACAGAAGCAAGCCGGGAACCCTCGCCAAGGTTCTCGGAAGAAGCTCCTGGGCTCCCAGTGCCGCGCGGGGGTGGGGCGAGCAGAGCGAGAGAGCCGGAGGGGGCGGGGCAAGGAGGTTGGCTTTGTTCTCGCCCCGCCCCGCCCCCGCCCCCGCCCCCGCCCTAGATATCGCGAGAGGGCGGGTCCGCTTGGCTTTGGCGTCGGCGTCTTTCCAGCGCTGGGGCGCTAGGCCGGTGTCTCTCCGCGAGCCGCGGGTAAAGTGCCGCCGGCAAGGGCGCGCGACGGGCTGCCACCCGCGCGGCGCTGGCTCTGTCGTCGGGGGTGGTTGACGCCGGTGGCAACGACGCCGGTGGCCGTTTCCGAGACAGCAGGTGCGGTCGCTTTAGCCCCAAGCGGGCTCCGCGGCTGCCTAGCGGGTGTCTGCGAGCGCCCGACCCTTCTCTTCGTGGACCCCACGCCAAGCAGCGACCCTGAGCCGACAGCCGGAGCGCCCGGCAATGGCGGCCTCGACGGCCTCGCACCGGCCGATCAAGGGGATCCTGAAGAACAAGACCTCTGCGACTTCCTCTGTGGTGGCGTCGGCCGAACAGCCCCGCGGGAGTGTAGACGAGGAGCTGAGGTGAGAGCTGGGAGGGACGGCCGGAGGAGCCCCTCCTTCCCGGCCGGCGGCCTGGCGCGCCATCGCCGTTACCGACCCGACCCCGAGCGCGGGCCGGCTCGGCTGCGAGGATGCGACTCCGGCATCGCTCCGGTCTCCTCCTCCTCCGGCTAGCCGCGGGGTGGAGTGATGATGTTAAAGAAGGCAGGACCGATGACGTTTATCGTGTTTCCTTTTTTTTTTTTTTTTTTAAAGTATATGTGCATCTATAACATTTTTTAAACAAACGAGGTATTTGAACTTCCTGTAATTGGGAACATTAAAGAATCAAACTGAAGCTTCAGAGCTTCCACTGTTCAGCTTTTATTATTTCTTAACCTCATCTCGAGGTATCTAAAATTCTTCGATATTTAAAATGTATTTTCTTGCCTTGGAACCCTTTAACATTTAGGTTCAAGGTAATAAGATCCCTCAAAAAAGACCATTTCCCTGTTAGCATCGTGCCACACTCGCTCCTAATTCCTGGTTTGTCACTATTTCTGTGCTAAGAGAAACCAGAATTTTCCAAGTCCTAGATCTATATTTAATGGAAAGCTATTTATTTCTAATTATTTTTGCATTTGCAAATAGAATTTTGAGTGCTTTCTAGTTTTGGTACCTGTTCAAAGACATGTCTAAGCTGAGAACAGTTCAGAGAGGAGGAACTTAATGTCCCAGTGTGATATTTTAGTTGCTTTTGCATACTCTGCAAATAGACATTTAAAAAGGTGTTGACCTGAAGCGTTGTTTGTAATAGTAATAGTTGGAAATAACCCAAAGTCCATTAGTAAGAACTGATAAAATATTAATTATGGTACATTTGTATAATGGAACAATGTATCAGTCTTTAAAGAATGCGATAGGAATTTATGCACAGAGAAAGAGATTCAAGGTCCAATGCTCTATGAAAAAAATGTTACAATATCTATAGTATAAAACATACTGCTTGGTTAGAAGTGCAAGAGGGCTTGAGTTATACTAAAAATGTAAGGACCCTACATTCTGGAAATAAGGCTTAAGAAAAGTTGTTAAGGCCAGGCGCGGTGGCTCACGCCTGTAATCCTAGCTCTCTGGGAGGCCGAGGCCGGCGGATTGTTTGAGCTCAGGAGTTCGAAACCAGCCTGAGCAAGAGCGAGACCCCGTCTCTACTAAAAATAGAAAGAAATTAATTGGACAACTAAAAATATACAGAAAAAATTAGCCGGGCATGGTGGCGCATGCCTGTAGTCCCAGCTACTCAGGAGGCTGAGGCAGGAGGATCGCTTGAGCCCAGGAGTTTGAGGTTGCTGTGAGCTAGACTGACGCCACGGCACTCTAGCCCGGGCAAAAGAGTGAGACTCTGTCTCAAAAAAAAAAAAAAAAGAAAAGTTGTTAAAATTTGTAATTATGAAGCTAAGATGAGGATGTTCATGAAATCTTAGAATATTGGAACTAGGGCATTCCTGTATGAAAGATCTAATTAGGATCATGAAAGGAACTAGTACTTGGTAGTGATAAATTTATAGGGACTCCTGTTACCGTGAAGAAAATACTAAGTAGGATTGCAACTTAGAATTGTGGCCATGGGGTTGGAAGGGACCTTAGTTTTGTCTAGCAATTCCTCCATGCCCGTGTTCTTAGATACTTAAATCTTATATTCCCTCTCATGTAATTTTCCAACCTCTATTTGGGGTAAGCCACTGTAGAGGGGCAGGGAGGGGGGATGGGATGGTTGTGGGTCATGGAATTAAGAAAAAAGAAATCTCACCAGAACATAACTGTAGCAGGAAGATCAAGATAGTTAAAAGATAAATAAAATAACTATGGAAGTCTCTAATGCAGCTTCAAGTTTTTCAGCAGCTGGAATGTGATCCTCACTGGCATTTGTTATTTAGCTGTTCTCCAGTGTGAGCTTCTTTTTGTCTGGATACCAAGTGGCTTAATCTTTTTCTCTTTCTCTGCCTACTTAATTTCTGTTTATTCTCAACTTTGATATACTGTAATTTCCCATGGCCCCACTCTATGGGTTGCCTCTATCTCTCTGTTATTGGCTGGGGTTTACATTCAGGTCTTTCTGCCTCAAAGGCCACTGTACTAGACTAACTCAACTATCTATGTAGGGCTGCTGCTTCTGTAGGAGCTGCTAGAAGGGCAGATTCACTTAAAAGGGACTTTTGCAAGGTAGGTAGCTAACTTGTCTAGTTAGAGGGTTATAGTCCTATCTTCAGAGGAAGCTATCAAGCACTAATTCATTGGGGTTTATGATGTTTAGTTCCAAGTGATAAAAGGGATGGGCTTTTTCGTGATCATTGTTATATGACTGTAAAGCAAAGAAACGAATTCTCTTACTAATACAGTATTGTTGTAGTCTGTTTTCTGTTGCTTATAATGGAATACCTGAAACTGGGTAATTTATAAGAAACGACAAAATTTATTCTACACAGTTCTAGAGGCTGGGATGTCCAAGGTCAAGGAGGTGCATCTGCCAAGTGTCTCCTTGTTGGCGGGTATCTCCGTAGAGTCCCAAGGCAGGACAGGGCATCACATGGTGAGGGGGCTGAGCATGCTAGCTCAGGTTTGTCTTCCTCTTGTAAAGCCACCAGTTCCTTTAATGGTAACCCATTAATTGATGAATGGATAATCCATTCATGAGAGCAAAGCCCTTATGACCCAATCACCTTTTAAATGCCCCACCTCTCAACACTGCCACATTGGGAATCAAATTTAAACATAAGTTTCAGAGGGGACAAACATTCAAACCACAGCAAATATTCATTATTATTTATGTCACAGCTCATGCAAATAATACTGGTAACTCTGTGAGAAGTTACTCATAAAGCAGGTTTGAACAGAAACAATAAAACTATATAGTTGGCCCACTGTAGCCACGGATTTTGCATGCACAAATTCAACCTACCATGGATCAAAAACATTTGATAAAATAACAATACAACGATTTTTTAAAATATAAATTTTTTTAAAAAATACAGTGTAACAACTATTTCCATAGCATTTACATTGTATTAAGTATTGTAAATAATCTAGAGATGATTTAAAGTATACAGGAAGGTGTGTGTAGGTTATATGCAAATACTATGCTATTTTATATAAGAGACTTGAGCATTGCACATTTTCACATCCAAGGAGGGTTCTAAAACCAATTCCCACGGATACCAAGGGATGACTAGCTGAATACATTTGAAACAAGCATTTTGTAATGTTTAATTTTAATTTAATTATAACCAGTATTCCCCCTTTTGTATAAAAAATACTGAAAATAAATAGCTCTTGCAATTAGAAGACACTTAGAATTGAAAAACTTACAAAGGTAGTGTAATAGTCTAACTTGAAATGTTGGAACACAGCATATAAGGAAGAAGAATCTCATATTAATGTGAAAATGACCAGGGATCTAAGTTGATTGTCATTACAGTAATAATGTCTTATAAAGTCCTGACAGACATGGAGTTAATGAGCAGTGACCCCTTAGCTCCTAGGGGAAATGTGGGGTTAGGTTCCTACAAACCTCTGGTCACAATATTTTCATCACCTAATCCATATATAACCTTGTTTTCTGTGTGTTTCTATTTAAAGACATCTTGTTTAATATATATTGTTAGTTTGTTAACATTGAACCTCACAGCCAACTGCACTATAACTCCTATATGAAGGAAGTTTATCTAACATGTATTTTCTCCTTAAGTCACGTCACAGCCTTCTTGCACTTAGGAACACTAGATAGCACTTTACACTTGGGAGCCATTTTGTATGCTGAATTCATCAACAAAAATGCAAAAACATGGTACTAAACAGACCTCGAAAGGGACACTTTTTTACCATATGTGAGCTAAATCAAGAAGGCATAACCTCACCTTGTTTGGCCTCATTCAGGAACATAATGCCTCAGCTGGGGATGGGTGCAGTGGGTAACTCGAATTTTCCCTGCTCTGCATATGTCTATGAGTGACCAATAAAATGCCCTCAAATGTTGATTTGGGGATTACAAATTTTAGCAAGTAGATGAATTTGCAGATAATCCGGGAATAATGAGGATGAACCCTACCTTTTATTGGTGCCTTTATCATGTAAAATACAGTGGGATATTACCAATGGATTTTTTTAAGGAAAAAATTTCAAACAAACTTCAAATATGTTTACAATTCATATACATATATACTACTATCCTTAGATAATTATCAAGACTAATTATAAAGTGAGGTTTGTATAAGCCATAATTCAAATATTTCTATTTTTTTAATCCAGTCCTTGTTGGAACTGATCAAACCATCACTGGAGCGTTTTATTTTTTTAGATGACTCAGTGCTGTTATTATTCTCTCTATACCTTGCATTGGCACTATTTTCTTCAATGAGTGATTTCTTCAGGTACCAATTTTTGAGGGTTAGTTAAATTAAAATTGGATAGAATTCATAAATCCTCATAATTAGGCATAGATAAGTCTCAGTACATTTCAACACTCTGTTGAACTAGTTTGAATACCAGTGTCATCTCCTATGATTATGGAATTCTCATTCTTCTTTCAGGACACCTTGAATGTAGTGCACAACTTGTGAGGGTCTAACTTAACAGACCAGAGTACATACGTGTGTTTCATTGAAAACAAGACACTGTTGATTCTCAGATGTACCACCAAGAAAGAAAAAATACTGCCAATTATGATTATGAGATGCTATCCATTCTAATATATATTCTTTTTCAGAGGTATAAAAATGTGCGTTTGGAATTATTGAAAATATATTAAATGTTATTAAAGCCTATCTTGTGGGAAGTATTATAGTTTAGTGGTAAATCTGGAGGCAGACTGCCTGGGTTCCTATCCTGTCTGCTACTTACTAGCAAATTTTATTAGCTGTGATTTTCAGTGAGTTATTCATTATATCTGTGCCTTAGTTTAAGATTAAATGAATTAATAAATGTAAAATGTTTAAGCCAGTGCCTCATCCTTAAATGTTAGCTTATTGTCATAGAAATAAATGTAGAAA